AGTCAGGAGTGAAGGCCAAGAACATCCCAGGGCATCCTGCAGTGGCTGGATCTCAGGCTGGGCCCCAGGGCTGCCAAGGTGGGCAGAGGCCAGATCACCATGGCCCTAGTGGGTTCTGCTAACACACAGATGTTCTCCTGTGAGTCCTTCTACCCGGAATGTGGTCCTCCAACCAGCAGCATCGTTGTCCCCTGGGAGCTTGTCAGAAATGCAGACTCTCAGGCCCCACCCAGAATCTGCACTGTAACCAATGGTCTCCAGGTGGCTCACATTCTAGCATGGGAAGCTCTGAGCTGGACCACTGTTTCCACCCCTTGGAAATACAAATGACTTTTTAACATCTGGATATTTCTCCCACGTCACCTCCGCACAAACACTGCCATGCTTCTCTATATTCATTGACTGAGAAAATAGTAACAAGAAGTCGCTGTGAGTTCGGTAATGCTTTGAATGGTTTTGAATTCTATAATCACATCGCAATCTATCTACACGATCTGTTCGGCCATCTGGTTATTTATACCTTATTCCCGCCACCGGTGTGTGTGAACAGGATTTTTATGAATAGAATCTTAATCATCCACCAACTTCCCCTATAATTTCAGAGACAGGGCTCTCCCTGGCGGCTTTTCAAGGGTGGTGTCTCCTGCATGCCAGTCGTCCACCCGGACTTATCAGCCTTCTTCACAAGTAATTTATAATCTCTGAGCCTGAATGCACCAGGAAAACTCATTTAAAGAATCCTTGGAATAAATCTTTCCGTAATGAGAGCAGACCCAACTCCACCCGGGTTGCCTACACTAATGTATGTTTTATAAATATTCTATTTAAGAGGCGTGTGTTACGTGTAGCCACTCTTCTCTGTTATATAGCTAAGTCCTGACATCAACTGTCCCCCTTCCCCAACACGAGTTCATCCCTCTGCAGTATATAAGGTACTTCCCCTGCATTCTATCTTCTGGTCCTTACACATACACTCTTAGGACATAGAGCAGTTCTTCATTTAACAGAGTAGCCCATTTAACAGATGTGGTAAGCAAGCCTCTGGACGCTGAATGACTCTCCCACGACCCCATGGCTATCATTGGAAGTATTGGAACTCGGCTTCCATCCATAGCTTTTGATTTGGCCCTTGACTCTTTCCACCAAGAGCTAGTGTTGCTTAAAAATTAAAACAGAGCCTGGCCCCAGTGGGTGGGCATCAACCTTTGAACCAGGAGGTCACAGTTCAATTCCCAGTCAGGGCACATGCCCGGGTTGCGGGCTCGATCCCAAGTAGGGGGCCTGCAGGAGGCAGCCGATCAATGATCCTCTCTCTTCATTGATGTTAATATCTCTCTCTCTCTCCCTTCCGCTCTGAAATCAATTTAAAAAATATTTTAAAGAAAATTAAAACAAAACAAAAAGGGTTGCCTTGGGCAGCACTTGGTATAACGGAGGGTAGCATGTTTCTGCTGCAGCGTGTCCTAAGGCCTTTAAAATGCCAGTGTGCTTTGAGGCTCTGCAGGAGGGGCTGGGGTTTGCAGCCCTCAGCCAACTTCCGTAGCCATTTGATAACATCTGGATCAGGAGCTGTTGGTGCCAACACTCAGCCACACCGAGCTGCTGCCCGGAACAGACATAATTGCATCCCATCCAGCATGGGGACACGATGTTGATTTTATTTCTTCCAGAAGCTCCCCTGGCGTCTAAATGGCACCTGTGGGCAATCAAGCGTGAGCACGCCCATCCCTGTGCCGGGTCCGGGTGTTCTTACCTAGGCAAGCTGCTTACCTAGGCCTGTCTGGCAGGGGAGGGGTGGACAGGGAGGACAGGACACACATCGCCCAGTTTGAGCCAGGCAGCGATGTGTGGATTCTTTGGTGGCCTTTAGAAAATTCAGCCTCTTCTGAACTGATGTGAGTGCTGAACAGCATGTCTTTTGTTCAGAAATCTCTTTTTCGGGAAATTCAAATGAGAGGCAGTGAGGTTCGGAGACTGGTGCATGACCCCCAGCTCACAGAATTTTAGAGCTGAAAACAGAGAGATAGCACACCTTCATGTTAGCAAAGAGGACAGAGAGGCAGTATAATGTGTCCGAAGTCACACAGCTGTTCTGCAGTGGGCTGTGAACCAAACCCAGAGCTGCGCTCTCAGAGCCCATATTTCCTTGGTCCTCCTCCCAGGCCCCACCTTAGCTCGCTTGGGTTTCTCTGTAAGAGCCCAGAGAGCATGAGGGACCAAGATGGGCCCCTGGTTGACCACTCGAGCAGCGTGTGGCAGACCCTTCCCGTAAGGACACTCAAGGGCTAGGGCTGGGGCCTGGGTCCCTATCATTGTCGCTGCCACATGCTCAGTGAGCAGTGCCCTGAACTCGGAGATGAGAGAGCACAGGCTGCTAAGCCCAATATAAATTCAACTACTCTGCCTCCTCCGTCCCTGTCCAGCTTGGAGCCTTATTGGTTTGTCGTCGGGACCACTGCCTCTTCTAGCCAACTGGCAAAGGGCAAGGAGGGTCAGGGGTCAAGGGACCTGGCTCCTGGGCTCTGCTCAGCCCCCACTTGTCATGTGGCCAGTGGCCACTGTCTTCTCTGTGAGCCTCAGTGTTCTCACCTGAAAGATGAGAGATTAGTTGAATTTAAAAAGTGCCAAGGGCTCTCCGAGCTCCAAAATTCCATGCATCCATGAATCATAGACCCCAGGCCTGGGCCTGCCCTTTATTTTCCTCTCTCTCTCTCTCTCTCTCTCTCTCTCTCTCTCTCTCTCTCTCTCTCTCTCTCTCTCTCTCTCTCTCTCTCTCTCTCTCTCTCTCTCTCTCTCTCTCTCTCTCTCTCTCTCTCTCTCTCTCTCTCTCTCTCTCTCTCTCTCTCTCTCTCTCTCTCTCTCTCTCTCTCTCTCTCTCTCTCTCTCTCTCTCTCTCTAACACACACACACACACACACACTCCAGTCTCCTACCTGGGCCACCAGTGACTGAACCCAACCAGAGCAGAGGGTCAGGGAGCCCATCAGGACAGTCTCTGCCAAGGCGGCTTCCAGGGAGAGCACTGTGGAGAGGACTGGCCAGGGGACGGACAAACGGAAGCAATCCTTCACAAATGCCCACCACCACACAGCCGGCCTCCCTCCCCACCTTCTCCTTCCAAGCTGGCCATCCCAGCCACTGTCACAAAGCCAGCCTCGTCCAGCATAAAATTGCTCTGTATCAGGCACCACCCTGACTCAGCCTAGAAAATTTCTCCGGATTTTCCAAGCAGCTTCCCTTCCCACTTCTCCCCAGTGTTTATTTCCTCGGCGTGTTTCCTGTAATTTGCAAAGATGAAAGATTTAAGCTTCTTTTATTGAGATGTACTTCCCCTGCCCTATTATGCATTCTGCCCATCGGGCCCCATCTCCCCCCGCAGAGCCCTCGCCTCTCTGCATGAGCAGAAAACACCGCAGGTAGACCTCGCCTCCTGCCACCGTGGCCACGCTCCTGAAAAATGAAAGAGAGGCCCAGCCTCTGCAGGTTGAACAAGCTCCACCGCCCTCCTCCTAATTCAACATCATCTTTCATGTTAAGCTGTCTGGGTGTCAGCCTGGTCCCAATTAACCAGGGTTCCTAGCACTGTGTGTGTAGTAACTTCCCCGTTGTCTGTGCTCTCGCTCGCTCCCTGGGGCTTTGAATCCTGGTATTCCTGATGTGTAAACAAATCCTTCACCGCACTGGGCCAGCTCCGTGTTGAATCATTTAGTGGTGAGAGGAATGTGAGAATGTGAATACTTCGGTCCAGCACCAATCGGGTTATTGCGGGGCTGGCTTCCTGGATGTGCGACCCATATAGTCACAGGTCCCCATGCTCAGAAGGGTTTCATGTTCTGCTACGGCTGTCTTAACACCCAGTGACGTTTTAGGAAGGGGCCCCGCATTTTCATTTGGCATGGGGACCCAAAAGTTGTCTGGGTAGTCCCGGCTACTGCTACTGTTGTCGCCACTGTTGTTGTTTGGTGAGCGGCCCACCTGCATCTCAGCAGGTGAGACCTCCCAAGGCTGAGACATGAGAGGGAGCCTGTCGCTGGGCAGCGTGTGGTGTGGTGTTTCCCAGTGTCCAGTCAGACCCTGAGCAGGCTCATAGCTGGTCCAAGGGCAGAAAACAGTAGACTCAGCCGAGGACACTTCCTCACTCATTTGCTGCATTCAACCATTACTGAGCTCTGCTCCATTCCAGGCGCTGAGCTGGAAGGAGTATGACAGTGAAGGCCTGTTGCCTTTCTTCAGCGCTCACTCAGAACCCCAGAGCCATGAAGCAGGGCACCTGCTGGCATGAAATAAACCACACCACAGGGGGTAAAAAGAGTGGTGGATTGTAAGTCAGGTGACCTGGCTTCTAGCCCTGCCCTGCTCTTGGCTCACTGTGTGACCTTGGGCAAGTCAGTTGCCCTCTCTGGACTAGATCACTGCTTGCCCAAATGTGTTTGGCCTCAAACACACCATAGCAGAATTTCCAGAAATGCGGATTTCTGGGCTTCAAACAATATAAATGTATTGTCTGACAGTTCCGGAAGCCAGAAGTTCAGAAGGGATTTCTCTAGGCTAGCATCTAGGTGTTGGCAGGGCTGCGTTCCTTCTGGAGGCTGCAGGGAAAATCCCTTCCCTTTTCCAGCTTCTGGAAGCTGCCTACATCCCTTGGCTTGCGGCTCCTCCCTCCATCTTCAGAGCCAGTAGCACAGCGTGTTCCCATTCTCTCTCTGACTCTGCTCCTCCTGCCTCCCTCTTACAAGGGCCCTGTGATCACACTGGAACCCTCAGAGAGTCCCGGATAGTCTCCCACCTCAAGATCCCTAATTCATCGTCTCTGCACTGTCCCTGTGCCAGGGAAGGTAACCTATTGACAGTTTCCAGGAATAAGGAGGGGGTCAACTTTGAGGGCTTTTAGTCTGCCGGCCACATGGCCTCTCTAGTGTCCCTTTGAGTGTGTCAGTCTCAGGGCTCCATAGCAACCTGTTGTTTCTGACCCATGGCTCTGTCCCATTTTGTTCTTCCAGAGGAAACGACGTTTGAAGCAGGAGTGAAAGTTCAGATCCACAGTCAGTCTGAGCCGCCTTTCATCCAAGAGCTGGGCTTTGGGGTGGCACCAGGGTTCCAGACTTTCGTGGCCACGCAGGAGCAGAGGGTAAGTTCCTGGGTTCCCTCGGTCAGGGGTCCTCCTCCTCTCAGGCCGCCTGCAGAGGGGTGAGGAGGAAGAGAAATGGGATTCCCACTTCTGGAAGGTTCTGAATCCACCAGGAGGCTGGAGGACAGTTGGGCTCGGTAAAGGGACTCCCCCTGAAAGTGGAGAAGGTGTCGGCTAAACTTCGTGACCCAATCCTCAGGAACCACATGTCAGTTCCCAAAAGTGGGTGTGAAGGAAACCCAGCTTATTGTCTTTTTCACTGAATTGGTTGGGTTTTTTTTTTATACCCAACCATTCTGGGTGGGGGGAATATTGGGAGAGGGGTGGGGGAACAGTAGATGATCTGCGAAACTGCTAACCAGGATTTGGTATGTTGCATCACTTGTATTAATATAATTCAAAATTGCCTACACGAAGGTGAAGGAATGGGGTGTCACTCTCGTAATAGAATTGAACAGTAGATGATCTGAGAAACTGCTAACCAGGATTTGGTATGTTGCATCACTGTGTTTAATATAATTCAAAATTGCCTACACAAAGGTGAAGGAATGGGGTGTCACTCTCGTAATAGAATTAAGTGGAAGGAAGCCTCTCGCATGGGCTCCTGCCTGCTCTCTGGATTTAGTGCCAGGGGAGGGCCCCTCCCAGCCAACCAGGACTGCTGCATCCACCCTGCATGTCAGCGGAGCGAGGACTGGGCAGCCTCATGTCTGACATGGGTTTCACATCTTCGAAGGGAAATTCTCAATTCCATTTTAAGGGAAGTGTCTCGGGAAGTTCACAAATTCTCAGTCGGGAAGCAGGACTGCGGAGAGTTGCAGGGACTCTTTCTTTCTCTTGTCCCTGGTGTGCCTGCAATAAAAGCGGGAGAGTGGAAGTCCTAAACCAGATCAGATGAGGCAGTTCGCCCTGGGAGGCCTGGGGCAAGGAGTGAGGGCAGTGAGTGGTGGGGACACCGCTGTCGTGAGTCAGAAAGGGAGAATCCAGGAGAACATGAAGGAGTGATCAGCAAAGAGGTGCACGTAGAACTTACAGGTTCAGCTTGTTTTTAAAATGTACCTCAAATGTTGTCTCTTATGTAGTACTGAGCAGAGTTCTTTAGCCATTTTATGAAACAGTATTCTGTCTTAGAAACTGGGTTGAAATCTGTAAGCGAGCTATAGTTCTGAATCTCTGGGGGGAAATTGATGGTGTAGGATTCAGGTGTACTTAATGCCTGGGCAGTTGCTGAAGGCCAAGTCCAGCCTCCATTGCAGCACAGAGGGGGTGGGCGGCAGCTTTGAGGCCGGGGCAGAGGAGGCTGGGAGTTGGCCCGGCCTTCCAGGCCCAGGGACTGAGACGGGTGATGGGAGCAGAAATGGAGTGTGTGAGGGCGTGCGCGAGGTGGGGAGTGAGCTGAGTCCCTAGGAAACCTCCCCCTTAAGGACAAAGAAGGCGGGCATGAACCAGACAGCAGGGAGCCACGTTTAGGGCTGAGGATTTGAGTCAGAAAAATGGCCTCGGTGATGTAAAGTACAGCCTAGGGAATACAGTCAATGCTATTGTAATAACTATATGTGGTGCCAGGTGGGTACCAGACTTATTGGGGGTGATCGCTTCATAAGTTATATAAATGTCTAACCTCTGTGCTGTACACCTGAAACTAATATAATATTGGCTGTCAACAGTAATTGAAAGAATTTTTTAAAAGAGTGAGAGTCCTGGCCAGTGTGTTCAATGATTAGAACATGGCCCCATGCATCAAAGTGTTCGATTCCCAGTCAAGGGCATGTACCTGGGTTGCAGGTTCAATTTCTGGCCCCAGTCAGGGCGAGTGTGGGAGGCAACCAATCAATGTGTCTCTCTCACATCAATGTTTCTCTCTCCCCCCCTGACTCCTAATCTCTAAAAATCAATGTAAAAAAATATCCTTGAGCGAGGATTAACAACAACAACAAAAAATTAAGAGTAAAAATGCAGATTAACAAGTCGAGGCGTGCAGATGCACGGGCAGTCTGGGTGCACCAGAGCCCAAGAGATGAGCCGAGGTGTGACAACCCGCCTCTGAGTACTGCCAAGCTGGACCCTTGTCAAAGCGCCAAGGGCAGACTTGAACCAGTAGCGCACTCATTGCAACTAGAAAGAGGGTTCGGCATGAACTGAACTCAACTTCGATTTGTCCAGAGGTGACTATGGCAGTCAGGGAAGTGAAACATTACAGAGAGTGTGGAGGAGAGATCGGTCCACTTGAAACACGCCTGAGTGTCCAGCTGGCATGCATCCAAGTTAGGCCCCCACCCTCCCGTACACACGGGGAGACAGAGGCCCATCTTCAGGGGTTGGCAGGAACAAATAGTCAATTCTTTGGGCAGCTTTGAGTTTTCTCGGGCGGGGACTCTAAGGGGGCAGGGGGCTAGGCTCGGCCTCAGGATGTAGCTCTGAGCTGTCAGAGACCATGGTAGTGTTTGTTCGGGTCTTTGTAGGCCAACCTTGAGGCTAGAGTTTGGTCCAGGGGAGAATCTTGGTCAGTCCTTCCTTCTGCCTGTTATGTGAGCAAGCTCTCCTCCCTTCAGAGACCCAGACGTGGCTTAGACAATGACTCATTGTGTGCATGATTCTTTAACTCTAAAGGTGAGTTTCTGACCCGTTTCCCAGGGTAAATCGGACTTTGTGGGCTATTCACTGTAACTGCCACACCTGTCGTGAGTGACTTACCTGGGCTGACGTCTCTGTCCACATTGCTATCAGCATGAGGGCAGGCGAGTAGCATTCTCTGAACCCACAGGGTCACTCTGCCTGGCCACTAGCGAAGGTCAAAGGTCAGAGAGAAGGAAGCTCTTTGCAGATAGCCATTTCTTTGGCCTGAGAGATGCACATATCCCTCCCCCATCCCCACTTCCCCTGCATCAGTGACACTGAAAACATTTCTATACAGATCTTGTAATGTAGAAATCCACCCATGAAACCTATATGTTCGTGTTGAACAATGTCACCCCAATCAATTCAATAAATTAAAAAATAATAAGTAAATAAATAAATAAGTAAAAGGAAATGTCTGGGCTGGGTGGGAAGGTGGAGCTGATGACTTCCACAAATCCTTCCGTTGCTTTCTCTCCCTGGTCTTAAGCAGAGGGACTCCCCACAGTGGGTGGGAGCAGACACATTCCCAGCTTCGGAGGGCAAATTCGTTATTTGCTTTGAAGTATATTCGCAGAAAATCAGCCTCATTCAGATCCATATCGCCATGGTAATTATAACTAATACTAATATATTTCGTTAAACATTTTACAGCCTTCAAAGCATTTCCGCATCATCTCATTTGATCATTTCATTCATATTAATAGAGAAATACAAAAACACATCCCGGAGCTAAATCTGATAATCTGTTATGTTTACATGTATATGAAAGAGCGTATTCATAGGAAATAAGACTTGAAGGAAAGAAGCCAAAAGACCCACAGTGGGGCGATGATGAATGATTTATTTTCTTTTCTGGGTTTTTCCTTGTGTTGTATAATGTGGCTTTGCTTGGCTTCTCATTCAGCAAATATTTGTTGAGCACCTATTATGCGTGAAGTGATGGGGACACCACAGTGAACACAGTAGAACCAGGGTCTGTCCTCATAGAGCCTTTGTAGTCGTGTTTTTTCTCATAAAGAAAAGACAGTAATTAAATAATGGGAAGCCAAGTGTAATTTGGGGGTCGGCCCCCCTTTGTACATTTCCATCCTGCCATGAGTACTGGCCTAGCCTACCCAGCTGACCTTGATGCTCAAACACTGTGTTTCATTGCTTCTAAGATGCCTGTTTTTTCATGTTGTAACATTTCTGAAACCAGGACTTGTTCCCCAATGAGCTGCATCTCACAGGTCCCATCGGCAGTGCTTTTTCTTTCTTGGTGGCACAAAAGATCACGGTGCATCCCACAGTCTATGGGGTCTACATGGATCCCATTCCAGGATTCCCTTGTTTGAGGTCAAAGTTCAAGGGACTCTGAAAGGAGGTCAGGAGGGGTGAGAAGACTGTGGGGAGCAGAAAGTTCTCCCCTGGAAAGCTGCTGTGAATCGTGCTAGGGAAACTGACTCCTGAGTGAGAGCCGTAGGAGGAACCAGTGACTTAAAGGAACCCTGCCATGAGCTTTATGCAAATGGAAAAGTCCTTCCACATGGGAAACTCATCCCACCCATGCAAAATCACACACGCACTCCTTTCAGTATGTTCTCATTTTCTTCTGTAATCCAGACCAAATTGCCTTTTTAAACTCAGTGTTTGCCCTAACCCCAATTAAGCCAAAGTATGCCTCTGCCTTTGTGGGCAACCTGAGAAATGTTCCCGTCCCTCCCCGACTAGCTCAGCCACTACAGAAGCCCCTGCGAGACCCCAGAACCAACTCCCCCGGAGACAGGCATTGGGATAGTGAGCTGGGAGCAGAAGCAGAACCCCGGAGAGTAGACAAAAAGTTACTGCTAACGGAGCACACACTGCCTGCCAGGCACTAAGCTGCGGAGACACTTGTCGTGCGTTATCTTATTTAGTCCCACAACCCCGAAAGGGGGATAGTGTTACCTCCACGGTCCAGATGACAGAAACATAGTTAAGTAGCTCGCTTGAGGTCACATGGCCAGGGGAGTAGCAAGGCTCAGCTTTGAGCCAGGTCCGTCTGTGGGGAGAAAGCCAGACTACAACCCTGGGCCTCAGGTTTCCCATCCATAGAATGGGAGGACTGGGTTAAGTGACTTCAAAGGGCCTCCAGCATGAACAGCCTGGGAGCCCTGCCTGTGTCCCTCGAGCACACAGCTGTCACCTGGGAGTTTGGCACCTGCTCCCTGCTCCGCAGGAGCTGGAGTAAATAGCAGCCCTGACATTAGAAGGGAGGCTCTGGGCATGCTCCTTGTTGGTGCCCATTCTTCAGCCCCTACATAGTGGTCACATCGCTACCCTGCCTAAAACCCTTACACTCCCGGGTTTACTCTAATTTCCAAAATGCCAGCCCTTTAGAATGGCTTCTGAGACCCTCTTCC